CTGCAGCCTCAGAGTGTCTCTCTGCGGCCTCAGGATATCTCTCTGCAGCCTCAGAGCTTCTCTCTGCAGCCTCAGAGTGTCTCTGCAGCCTCCGTGTCTCTGCGGCCTCAGGATGTCTCTCTGCGGCCTCAGGATGTCTCTCTGCGGCCTCAGAGTGTCTCTCTGCGGCCTCAGGATATCTCTCTGCAGCCTCAGAGTGTCTCTCTGCAGCCTCAGAGCTTCTCTCTGCAGCCTCAGAGTGTCTCTCTTCAGCCTCAGGATGTCTCTCTGCAGCCTCAGAGTGTCTCTCTGCGGCCTCAGGATGTCTCTCTGCAACCTCGTTCTGCTGTCTGAAGCTCCTCAGCTGTCTGAGCTGTAGACATGTTCCCTCCAACAGCTTCTAAAACTGTCCTCTATAATCCTGAGTCACCTGAACATCCCTTTATACTGCTACCACCTGACCCTTTGCTATTGGAGAAACAGTAGGAACTACAAATATTGATGCAAACTTAAATGTCTCCTATTATGCTATTTTTAGGCATATAATTGGTCTCAGATATATACAAATATATTAAAAAAACATGTCTATGAAGTGTTACGCTCCAAATACCAAACAGATCACCCATTCTGGACATGACTCATACCCCTCTATTTCAGCCCTGTTAGAGAAGTGCAGATTCTGTGTCTAAAGCTTTAAAAGAAAAGAAAAAAGAGCAATTATGCTGAGTATCTGATCAGGATAATTCTACCCAGAAACTCAGCTAAACACTGCCGTGATTAAACGCCATATCATGTTCCAAACCACTTCAAGGATTATTTCTGAAACAGTATGGAGCTCAAATGCTTTTCTCTTGCGTCTTTACCACAAGGTGAGTACCTTTTATATCCTGCTTCTTTACACATACTCTCTCCAGTACAGGTTAGCTCTGAGTGTTAGCGATGCTTGCTAATGTAAACACAGACCATATTACTTCCAAAACACATCGCACATTGTTTCTGATAGCAACGTTTCTGATAGGGCCGTGGGCGTAAAGCCAGCCCACATTTTAGTAATGACGTCATGACCGCAGCAAATCTGAATCAGCTCCGTTGTTCCCCCCGTTTTTAGAGATGTGGGTACAGAGGAAAAGAGAGAGGGTTTTATTTTTATGACACTGCGTGAGTCCCCTGACACACCGGGGACACATATTTATGTATATACAAAACATCAAAAAGTGCATTTTGCATGATAGGAGAGCTTTAATATACTAAACAACAAATGATTGGCATGACAATGCTCATTTTGACAAAACTGCTAATATCAGGGGATTATTGATCTATCAAAGTGGAAATAAGAGCTAATTTGTAAGTTACAGGTTACCAAAATGTTTTCATAGTTTGAAATCATCATCTTTGGATAATTTCTTCAATTTTAATTGAGAAATCTGATAATTAATTTCATTATTTGGGGCTAATATGAATGGTGGTGAGGATTGTCAGGCGGCTCCCGAATGCAGGCAAATAAACAAAACCAAAAAAGCAATCTTAAATTAATTTATTGAGATGGTTGCACCAACATAAATATGAACACAAGTCAAAGTGGGAGATCTCTTAAAAGGATAATAGTGCAAAAAAGAACAGGGTTCTGCTCACAAATCACTGAAACATATGTCACACTCATACTGTACTGTAGGCCTACATACTTTATACTGTACATACTGTATAGTACATAAGGTCCCACTTCACTGACAGAGCAGTGATGCATGTCTCTGCCAGGAGATGGAGCCAGAGTTCCAGGAATGAGGATTATTAGCTGGATCCACATGGTCCCACCTTACCATACACCTTCAAAGGAAGGGGTGAATTCCAACTGTTTCTAAAACGAATTCATGTTTATAAAAATAGGGGTCAATCTACATTTCTGCATCACACTGTAGAAGTTCCCCTTAGCTCTTATAATAAATGTATCATAAAATGCGTAGCCAAAATACAGACACTGAGATCCTTGAGGACAAAACATTAAAACCATCACATTAAATATTTTTACACCAGATTAAGCATTGTCTCATGTCTGCTCTATGAGGAAAATACATGTTTTTCCCCTTGTAATGTACACACACAAAAAAATGCAGTTAGAATATAATTGGGAGGGATGAAACCCTCTTTAATGGTCACACATGCAGAGCACACAGCACACAAAGTGACATGTGTTCTCTGCTTTTAACCCATCCTAGTACCAGGAGTCGAGTACTAGGAGCAGTGGGCAGCTATTGTACAGCGCCCGGGAAGCAATGGGAGTGAGGGGGAAAGGGGGTTGTCCGGTGCCTTGCTCAAGGGCACCACGGCAGGGCAGGAGGTGAACTGGGACCTCTCCAAGGAGCAGTCCACACTCCAAATTTTAGGTCTGGTCGGGGACTTGAACCGGCAACCCTACAGCTCACAGTCCAAGCCCCTACTGACTGAGCCCCTGCCTGTATACTCAAGACTGTGGGGAAAAAAACCCTATCATAAAAAAAACAACAGTGGCATCATGAATGAAAATCCTGAAAAGAAAAGACATGTGGTCTAAATCAAGACTATAATTCCCTTAAAGTGAAAAATAATATTGAAGCTATATCAGTTATTATCTGAACACAATGTGTGACATAAGTGTCACATAAACATAAAATGCATTTCCTTACAAAGCAGTTTAGATTTGAGAAATATAACACATGCATATAGATTGAAGAGATTTAAACGGATCAAACCCTCCTGTTGGGTGAATGTAAGACTGGACTTTATGAGGACTGTTTTGTATTGATCCATCAAAGTGGAACACTCCATGTCCATCATACTGCAGGTAATCTTTGTATCAGATCTGTCATTATGTGCCATGCATTAGAGAAAGTGCTCTTCAATCATTTCCAGTCGGCCTCACCTATCTCTCAGTCCATGAGCCCGACTGGAGACATGAGAGTTCCCTGCAGGCATGGAGGAAAGGAGCTTAAACAAAGGTTTGTCACATTGTCTTAATGCAGAGCCATTACTTTGCTACACTTTAATTAGAACAATGAATGACTCACTCTAAGTGTGATTAAATGTTACCACCTACTTAATACTTTCATTAATTGCATTATCAAGAAATGTGATTTCATGCAAATCATCTAAACCATTTTCTGCCCGTTCCCTGGGAAATAAAGACATCCCAGTGGAGTCGCAGTGCTGCCTGGGTATTAAAGAGCGGGCCTCATACAGTAGTGCCTGCATCAAACCCTGTTTATTAGAGGAGAGGCATTTACTTTATTCAATTACCCTCAAAACAGTGAGAATTATTTGATTCATCATATGGTGCTGCAGGCCTGCAGATAACAGGTAAGTAGCATGGATAAACTGATGACCTGTGCATTTTCTATTGATAACACTAATAGGATAAATAACAACACAATAACCAATATTTGTTCAGATTTTGATGCTCTTTCATGACTTTTATAATGAGCAGTGGATGTCATTGTATGTTCTCCTTATTTTGTGTGTGAAATAAATGTTTTCCTCCAATTTCAAATCTGCGTTATATCGTTTCTGTTTAAATTATTTAATTGCAGACTGAAACAGTTATTGTATATGAATACATATGTTATCACATCATTAACTCATCTTTATTTGAGGAAAAAGTTTGTGTGTTGTGACTTTTTAAAATAATGTGATGCATATTCTCCACTTAAATAACAGTATAGGCTAAGTAGCAAACCGCTGTTCCACCTGGCTCCAGGTTTCCTTTAAAGGGGCCCTATTCTAGTGATGTTCAGGTGTATATCAGTATGTAGTGTCTCTACTTTAAAGAGTCCTCTCCTGCTGATGTTCAGATGTATATCAGTATGTAGTGTCTCTACTTTAAAGAGTCCTCTCCTGCTGATGTTCAGGTGTATATCAGTATGTAGTGTCTCTACTTTAAAGAGTCCTCTCCTGCTGATGTTCAGGTGTATATCAGTATGTAGTGTCTCTACTTTAAAGAGTCCTCTCCTGCTGATGTTCAGGTGTATATCAGTATGTAGTGTCTCTACTTTAAAGAGTCCTCTCCTGCTGATGTTCAGGTGTATATCAGTATGTAGTGTCTCTACTTTAAAGAGTCCTCTCCTGCTGATGTTCAGGTATATATCAGTATGTAGTGTCTCTACTTTAAAGAGTCCTCTCCTGCTGATGTCCAGGTGTATATCAGTATGTAGTGTCTCTACTTTAAAGAGTCCTCTCCTGCTGATGTTCAGGTGTATATCAGTATGTAGTGTCTCTACTTTAAAGAGTCCTCTCCTGCTGATGTTCAGGTGTATATCAGTATGTAGTGTCTCTACTTTAAAGAGTCCTCTCCTGCTGATGTTCAGGTTTCATATCAGTATGTAGTGTCTCTACATGTCTCCATGCTTTAATGTTCAAAAAGCTCTTTATGTTTCTCATACTGCCTGTGCTTCAGCACCTCTTTTCACCCTCTGTCTGAAACCCGAGCCCAGTCTGCTCTGATTGGTTAGCTGACTGGCTCTGTTGAGATTGATCAACTGCTGAAAGATGTCCCGCCCCTTAGCCTATCATGTACAATGTGTTAGAGCGCTGGCCAATAAAAGTGTGAGTGTTACATAGTGATGTCACTATGAGAAAAACTCCCTCTGGACGGAACACAGGGATTTAACCATTGTAGGCCATTTACAAAATGCTATAGAACACACTGCAGGAAAACCCCAAAAAGCATTACAGGGCTTCTTTAGTGTTTTATTTTTATGTAATACATATTTTTTTTAAATATATGTTTTTATTTATTTATTTTCTTATAATCTTTTAATATTTTGCGTAACATGATATGGTGGAGCATTTTTTATTACACAAATAAAGAATCAGATTAATTTTTAATTTTATTTATTATTTTATCCCAAACCAGTATTAGATTTTTAAGACACTGTTAAAAAAAACACAATAAAAAACACATCTCAAATGTTCAACCAGATTAAAGTAGAGAAAAACACAAAACAGAAAGAGCATGACAGAGCAGCAGAGTGTATCTATGAGAGAGAATGAGTTTACACGTAGTCAAATCTCTGGTTGGACCTCCCGTCCACGCTGGGAGCCTTGTACGAGGGTCTGGTGTCAGACCTGTAGATCGTGGGGTGAGAGGGCGCTTTGTAGGCCATCCCATCATACCTGAAGAATATCAGAAAAACAAGCAACTTTAAATAAAGACAAACAGGAAGTGGAGCTGCTGCAGTGAATTCTGACATCATCTAACCCGTCCCCATCAGTCTCTATCCAACGTATAGATATTACAATTGAAATAAATAGGATTAAAAACCTTTTGACAAGGGAAAGTGTGACCAGGAGAAGAATATATTGACGTGTATTGTTTTGGAAGCGGCCTCGTAAAAACTTGCAACTCTGCATTAAATATGCAGAGAAAAAATACACACACCAAATGAGTGCATTTACATTTTGCTGAGTGTCCTTAACTTTGAAAGCAACTAAGATGAACTTATCCAGGGATGCTTTACATTGTTGTTCAGCTTTGTCAGGAGCCAGGGCTTCCTTTAACAGCAGTGAACATTCAATCTGCACTAGTTCTGCTTACTGGACACTTCTGTAGGAGCACCCTACCCCATCCAGAGCACAGCACTTCTGACAAAGTTTCCCCCACTGGTGGTGTTAATCATCAGAAAAGGTCAGAGATGACGGAACGTACCGCTGGGTCGTCTCTGAAGTCATTCCACGGCAGGCCAGACACAGCATGATGCCCCCGATGAAGAGGACAGCCGCCCCGATCCAGCCCACGAACAGAGCGGGGCCAAAAGTGTACCTGAAGAAGACATGGTTAGTAAAACCTGACAAAGCAGCCTGGTTTCACCAAATGCCATACAAATAACACACTAATTCCAGAAGTCATTTTTCCAGTTTAGCCGCCAGGTGGACAAAGTACATGTACTGCAATTTAGTCCTCCAGAGTGTAGAAAAACTGTGTGACAACAAGACCTGCACTTAGAATGTACATTAAATACAAAAAGTAGTTCATCTGCATGACCGCCCATATCAGATTTTTTTTTATAATATTAAACTGACTATTTAAAGATCCCCTATTATACTCCTTTTCATCAATATTTTAAAGTTCTCAGATATATACAAAACATGTCTCTGAAGTGTTTGGCTTGAAACACCAAACAGATCATTGCAGCATTACCCATAATCCCCTGTTTCAGCCCTGTTTCCAAAGTGCTGATTCTCTGTCTGTTACTTTAGATGAAAATAAGGAGCCCCTCCCCACGCCCCTCTGAGAGACATTTGGTTACAAAGAACTCAATGGTGCTCTAGGAGGAGATTCAGGTGATAAGGTGTGTGTGTGTGTGGGGGGGGTTACATTGTTCGGTGATTGGCTGATGGTTACACAACCCAAAAAAACATTATGACATCACAAAGTGATCAGGTTTTTATATAAATGGATCAGGACAAAAAGAGAGGGGGTCTTTGTTCCTGAGACTTTCAGAAAATGAACAAAGTGTTGTAGCAGATAAAAACGCGTTTTAATTTGTGCTTACCTCGGAGTCAGATTTCCTGAGAGTCCACCAAGACCCCCCCCGCCACCACCACCATAGCCGCCATCGGAATATGTGGTGAACCGGAAGCTTTGCACAATCAAGTTAGCGAAGGCAGACACCCCAGCAATGCCACACACTCCTGAAAATGAAGAGCAAACGATGGGTGCGTGCAGAACAGTTCTGCTGTGATAACAGAACTACACGTTGTGAACATCACTGCACCTGCCAGAATGATCATGACCCCAGCCGTCAGAGTCATCGTGGCCTTGATGCTGTCCTCCATGTTCCCAATCTTCAAGCACTTCAGGGCAAATATGGCGATGACGACGCCGATGGCTCCAAGAATGATTCCAACAATCATCAGAGCCCGCACGGCCTGGAGCAGAGCTGGAGCCAGAGGATACCACTCAGAACAATCTCAACACAGTATTTACTCATAAAAGAAATATGCAAGCGGTCAATGGAGAGCTGTAGTTCCTTAATATGGATCTACTTCCGCTCTTCTTTATTTCAGAGGAAAATATGTTTACATCATTAAATCTATTTGGCAGTTATAATTAGTTTGCAGGTTAAGATTTTTCATGCAAAAGCATAGGATCAATAAATAAAGATGCATTTTTACCCCAAAAAGATTCCCAACAGGATATAGAGTTAAAATAGCAAAATATTGACCAGCTTCAACACAAAATGCTTCTTATACATTAGTAGTGTATCAATATCGATAAACATTTAAATAAAATATAGAACACTTTTCATCCTTTTTAAGCACTGACAAATCAAATATTTTCTTGATGCATAAGTATATCAAAACTTTACTTTAAAAGACACTCAAAACGCATGGCATGTTTTGAAAAAAGTAAAAAAGAATACAAATAAAATGCTGTTGTTTTTTTCCAGAAGTAGCAATATTACAATTAAAACTCTATATAAATCAAGACACCATGTATTAAAACGATTTGACCCAAAATGCCATCTTTCAATCCCCTGAGATATTGTACCTGTATTATTCCAGCCTTAAGCCTATAAGACCTTATGTACAATATGCTCTACACTACATTCAGCTGTTAAGCACAGAGTGTGGAAATGTACTTTACATTGTGTGACACTTCTCTAAAGCTTGTGCTTGCTCAGCTAAGCTTTGGATGTCTCATCAAATTTCCATTTGATTCCGTAGAGACACCAGCTTTTCTGCAGTCCGCTGCATTTTCATGCAGCAAGGAAACGTGGAAAATCTGCCCTAAAACCTGCCGAATATTCCAAAGTACCTTCCAGGGTCCTTTGAAAATGTCCTCCTTAATCCAACATGTGGAGCAATGTTTGATAAATGTATTTTTCTCTCTGGGTGTAATTCTCTTACCTGGCAGTCCTAGTATGGTAAAATAAGGCCTGCACTGCGTTGTACCGTATGACGTCCCCACGCACACGTTCCACAAACCAGAGTATGTGTAAATGTTGGTCACAACTGTAAAAGATCGATCCTGCAGGCTCCACATGTCCATTGCTGTTGCAGCTGATATTAAGAACTGCCCCAGCCCAGACAACATGAATCCTATTAACTGAATCATCGAGACCGCCATTTTAGATGTCCCGCTCAAACAAGTAGCCAGCGATGCCACAGAGTCATGAAATGGCTGCGCCTGAGCGGCTGCTTATCTTTATATATGATTCAACAAGGAACCGTTCTTATCAGATGTTTACCCAATTGTCAGTCTTTGTCCCAGTTTCGGTAACAGTAGCAACGAGAATTTCCTTCCCTTCGTAACAAAGGGTGTGGTTTGACCTTTCGTTAGTATTTCCACATCATGTTAAGAGAAAAATAAACTGATAATGTTACATCTGCCAAGAAGTCATGTGTGTTTGTCTGTTGTAGCAGGATGACTGTTACACTGCTAGCCTGATTTTGGCTTGGTGGGGTGATGTAGCATGGACCAGGGAAGAACAAAATGAGTACTGTACTTTTGAGGTACTTGTACCTGACCTGAGTTTTTCATGCAATGCTAATTTATCATTCACATGTAGTACTTTACTTATACTCATTTACAATTGGGAAGCCTTTGTCGTACTTTGTACTCCGTTACGTTTATCTGATAGCATTGGTTACTTTATAGATACATTTTATTAGCTAATACAAAATATGTATACATTTATGAACAAGTCATTTTTGACTCAGATATGTATATATGTTCATTTAATTTATTTCTTGTTTTAACAGCTACTTACCTGTATATCATTTTATTTTTTATCTCTAATTGTAGGTGTGACTATAGTTACATTTTAGCATTGTCAAAAACCATCAACCTTTATTTTTTTGGTGACTTAATGAAGTACTCTCCTTCATCATTTGTGTTTTTTTTGACAAAATAAAAGTGTACCTGGCAGTCCCAGAATGGTGAAATACGGCCGGCACTCAGTGAAGCCGGAGCTCTGCCGGACGCAGGAATTCCACAGGCCCGAGTAGGAGAAGATAGCCGTCACCACGGTGTCATAGAGGTCCTCGGTCGCCCACTGGTCCATCCCTGTCGCTGCGATCATCCCCCCCAACCCTAACAGACTCAGGAGGAAGCCCATCACCTGACAGAGAGTCGCTGCCATGGTTCTTCTGCTGGTGGAGGGCAAATGTAAAACTCCAAATTCTAAAGCTAAAGGTCTGTCCTCAGCACTGCGGCTGTGAGTTGGAATATGATATCGGCAGGTGTGAAGTCAAGAAGGACCAATGACCCTGCTTGTTTGCACACAGCCCAGTCATGTACAGAAGGAGTTGGGTGGAGCGTATTAGTGAAATATGATTACTGTTGGCTCCTTAATTTGGTTGGTATAGAATAGAGTAAACATAATGTGGTTTGGTATACAGTCATTTTAATGTTTTTTAATGAAAATAGTGTCGGAGAAAAACCTAAAATTCAGTTACTCGCTTCAGATTTAATGAGTGCTGCTGCTGGTGTGTACTGTCGGCAGATTTATATGACCTTGTCCCACTGTTGTTGGGTGAAGCTGTTTTGAATTCAAGACATCGAGTTCAACAGTCCTGAAAACTTTGTTTTAGCTTCTCACTATGAACGGTGGGGTTCTACATGAACACACCATTTTCTTTCCAAGTAACTTGAGTTTTAGTGAAATAGTTGTTGTTGTCATTGTTTTAAATCAGTAGGGAAATGTAGGTGTCACCCATTTCTTTGCACCAATCAGAATTCAGCAATTGAATCCAAATGTGATCATGCTCTTATGGTTGTGTTTTAATTTGTTCTTGCCAAACAAATCTGATCAAACCACTCCCACACAGTGTGAAGAAGCAATAAAACGTTTTGAGGGAACTATAAATATCTATGTTTTCATGAGTGTGTAATCAGTTTAAAATGAGCCCTTTATATCCCTATGTTGAACCACCATGTTTCTACAACAGACAAATCAAACTCCAAATGGCTCTAGAACTAGAGTTATTACTATACGTCTGCTGTAGGCTTAGAAATGTAAAGCAACACCCAGCAGCCGGTTAGCATAACGTAGCATCACCACTGAAAAGCAAAAATAGCTGGCTTGGGTCTGTATAAATGAACTGTACAAAAAAACCTCCTCTAGCATCTCAACGGTTTGGGCTGCAGAAAAAAAAAAAGTTTACAAACAGCCATCACATTTTATTGGCGGGGAGAGTAGGCTACGCAATTATTTCTTGATTGTGACCAGCGTGTTGGTTGTCTGGCATGCTATGCTAAGCTAACCACCTGCTACCTATAGCCCTATAGTAATGGGACATATCTCTCAGACATGACCTCAGGCTCAACACATTTCCCAAAATGTAAAAATATACCTAAATTCCTATGATAAATAAATTATAAATAACTATGTCTCTGATTGATAATTATTTAGTCATAGATATTTATGTTTGAGAGAAACAATACATAAGGGCTTTAAAAGAGCCGATCTGGATGGATTTCCTAACTTTAGCTGCTATTTATGTTTAATTTTCTTGACATTAAGATTTAAGTCTTCTATTTTAATGGTTGACAAAGATGTGGAGCACAGCCAGCATCCTGTTTACAGCTCCTGGGCTGAGTCATGTCCTCATGATGGGAAACCTGAATGTGATGGGCTGCCATGTGGCAATAACAGGCAAGAGTTAATTTAAATTCGTTTTTTGCTGTCTACTTTGCAAAATCCCAGGGTAACACTGAGCATTACACAGTTTTGATATAGGATTAGACGATGTTGGAAACAACCTGAAATAAGGCATTGATATGGGCTTGGAACCACACAAAATGTATCATAGTATTGCCTCAGTGGTTTGTTCATTCCTCTTTAGATCTTGATACATTCAACATTATTTAAAGTGGTTATTAAAGTGTCTTTTGAATACTGAGAACTTCAAAGTTAGTTTACTGTTATTATATGTCGCTTTAACTAAATGTACAGTTTTAATATTGTCGGGCAGTGTGTCTGGGACGGGCTGTGTTGTGTGATACTGGACGTCCCTTTTGTCGGAGAGGGGTGTGTATTGTGTGGCACCAGGAGCCAGTCAGGCTAAAGCAAATACTGATATGATTGTAGTGAACTGAAACTAATTTGCCTGTGGCTGATATGCAGAGGAGGAATTGAGACCAGGGCTGAATCGAAACTGGGTGGGGCTTTATTCAGAATAGAATGTATCATTATTGTATTCACAACTAATAAACATAGAGTTGAACCTTTGCTATAAACTTGAGGTCATGTCAGGTGTCTCAGGACGAATACAAACGTTGTGTTATAGGTTAGGATTTATTATCTCAGTTTGTTTAGTTCCCTTGTTTTTGAAACATGGACAGTAACACAAAGTACAATGTAATATTTGATTGTTGGTTATAATTGACTTTTTTCATGGTAATAACTGAAGTTAGAGAATATTGCTGACTGCTTGAAATACAATAAGTATTGCCAGACACAAATGATTGACTTTTTAACTCATTACATAATATATCAAATATCAAGTATTTATCGATAATAGCTAGAAATTATATCATGGGAAATAGTTTAAATATATACATGTACAAGTAACCAAAGTGTATATATTTTAAGAAATGCTTTGGCCTTAAAAGGGTAAAACTAAAGTTATAAAAGAGGGAATAATCCATTTAAACGTCCATATATTACACAGGGATATCGACATAATAATGTATATAGGGAAGGAAATATTTATTTTTTAAAAACCTAAGCTAAATCAAGTGTTAAATAAGGTTAAGAAAATATGTTTAAAGGCAGACTTGACCTCTCTGTTAACTCATTGCACGCAGTAAATCACTCATGAAGGTGTTGTGAACACAGTTAAAGTGAGGTTTATATACTCTTTCTCTCTCCCACACACTCACACAGACGCCTGATTGAATCACTGTCAATAGAAATAACTGCATGCTGCTGCGCTAATGATTTTTGCTGTCTGCTGTGCAAAGCCATTTGTCCCCCAGCAGGCTGAACCTTAAGCAAACAACTTCCCAGCCTCTGTGTGCTTATCCTGATCTGAAAAGAGAAGCCACTTCACACATGTTCGCCGTGTAGCTTCGATCATATGAATTATCCGTGTTGTTCCTTTCTTGTATCAAATGCCACCTTACTGGAAGAAGCTCTAGGTCAATGATGTGCTGTGTGATGCCCTTTAATCAGAGCCAGCATGCAAGTGGGCCGGCCAATCACCAATGCTCTGCACCCAAGTGTTGCTTTTCGCTAAAAAGAAATCTGCGGGTGCAGATTTATTTTTAGCGAATCAAATGTTTTCAAAGCTCCAGAAAAAATTCCTGCTAAACTGAGGGGGGATTATCAAACTTTTTTTATGAAATGAAGTGCAAGACTTTTAAAATATTTCCTTTGATAGACTGGTGCAGCCATAACAAAAAACGTGATTATTGTGTCTTATATTTTTATATTTTATTCTATAATGTATATAGAGTAGACTCTATTATCTACTCTATATACATTGTAGTTCTAACAAGCTGATACATAATGATACAGTAAGACAACGGTGACATCGTTTTTTTCAAAATGATATTGTTAATGTGTTTGTAGTTGTCTATTTTAATGTAGAGCACACCATTTGGAGTTGTGTCCACTTGATGAATGTGAGTCTAACATACACTGTCCTTTTAACTATGCTTTGGTCTCCACCAACTATTAAAGGCCTGCATGTGAGGGTCAAATGAGTGATGGGGGGTTAGCCAAATAAACTGCTAGCTTGTTTCCTGTCGACTGAGAAGCTATAAACGGCAATCTTTTGGCAATTTGTTGTATAATTATGTGTGGGTTAGTCCTTACCTTAGCCCCTTTCATGGGTTTTATTTCATCAATCGTTTTATTTAAGCAAGAGTTAGAGTCTATGCCCATAGCCTACTAGTGACTCTGTGAAGCTAGCTACAAGTCGAATGATTACAATTCATCTTGAGGAAAGCACAAACATTTAGAGAATATTAATAGAAATCCATTTGTTAAGACTTTTTAAAATTAAAATCACGTTAAGAAAAGTCAGGTGATCACGTGATAGGCTTACAGCTGTCATTCTTTTCACTTTGTAAGAAAAAAAAAAGGTTGGTTGACAGACCTTGAAGGTCAGAATTCCACT